CAGTGTCGGGAGAGCAATTAGGGTCACGTAACAATGTATGTATAAATTTTTGTATGAGAGGCTAACTTGAATTGTAAACTTTCACTTAAAATACGATAAAAAAAAAAAAAGAGGAAGCCACGGGATCTAAGAAACACAAGATCCGTCACAGGAGAAAGGCAAAGGGAAATCCCCAGGATGACCTGAAGGGAGATTCCAGGTTGGCAGCTGTGCCCTGGATGTAGAGGGCCTCCAGTCTAAACTGGAGCAGATAGGAAGGCTCTCTAGGAAGATGGAAGATGAAATTGTTAAGATGACCTGATGAGGCTGACTTCAGAAGTCATTCAGACAACTGAGGAAGAGTATGGGGTTGAATTAGAGCCAAGAGTTTAAAACCAAAGCAAACCAAGAAGTCAAGATAATTACTAACCCCAGGCAGGGCAAACAAAAAATTATGCAAAAGGAAAAGTAATCATGGTTTAATACCTGCTTGACTGTGAATAAGAAGAGTCAGAGTGTAAATATTTATCTAACCAGAACTATTATAAAACTACATTGGGAGATTGAGGTTGTGTGCAGTGGTCTGCTGGTAAACTGGCTCCCCCGGGGTGGGGGTGGGGAGCCCTGATTTATAATGTTTGGTGATTTCCCTGGTATAAATACTCCCATCTTAGCTGATTTCAAGCTACCAACGTAATGTTATTGAACACTGAATTTGAAAAGAGATACACAAAATCAGCTCTTGCTAATTCCTGCAAGCCAGATCCAGCACAACACTACGTGGTGAGGGGGGTAGTGGTGTTGGGAAGACAGCTAAAGCCTCACCTTCCAGAATACATATTGCCTAAAACGAAACCATCAAGTAGTACCAATAAAACCATGTTATTTAGACATCTGGAGAGAAAAATCAGCTAAAAGAGTTGAAGGTGGTAGTCTCTAGAGAGGGAAAGTGAGGGATTGGGCACTGGACTGTTTTTTGTAACCAACCCTGTAGATCCATTTGATTTTTTTATGTACATATACAATCCGATTAAAAAAAAAAGCAACGCACGCAGGTGAAGATGCCCAGGATGGTGCTTGACATACAGCCCGTGCTCCCTGTTTCCTCAGTGATACCCCCAGGTACAGCCTGCAGGGAGGGGGTGGCCCTGGTGACTGCGCTATGTAGAATGGGGTCGGACACCTGTGGACAGCTGGACCAGGTGTATTTCTGAGCAGACATGACATTTATTGAGCATTGACTATAGGTACTTTTCAGCGTACAAATGTGTGTGTCTATGTGTATGGGCTTTGCTCAGAGTAGGGGGTGGTACTCACGCTGCCCGGCTGGGGGTCGGGCTCAGGGCCCAGGTAAGTGGTCCAGTGTGAAGTCTGTTTGTTCAGCTCCTTGTATTTCCCCTTAAAGACATTCTCGATGTCCATGAGAGAGAAGGCACAGACCGCAGAGCTCTTGCTCTCACCCATCTGCCTGGAGACAGCGGAGGGGACATTGTGGTCTCCTCTGCCACAGCAAGGAATCTGCCCCTCCAGCCCTGGCCCACCCTGAGGGAGAAACCACAGAAGGGCAGAAATGGGGTCGACTGGGCCAACCTCCAGCTGCTTCTGCCACCCCATGCTGTGGTTATAAGGGCTAGAGAGCTCTGGCCCTGACTCTAGGCCCATCTTAAGACCTAAAGTGTAGTAATCCTTAATGAGAATTAACTGGCGCTCAGGCCCTGGGGTAGCTCCTGCCTGTCCTGCCCAGGCTGGGCTGCAGCCAGTGCAGGGGCGGCAGTGTGACCAGCTGTGGCCTGGCTCCCTTGTTTGGGCTCCATGGATTCCTGGTGTGGAGAATGGACCCAGGACTACTGGACTGTTTCTATTCCTTCAGCACTGGTCTTTGGAGACGGAACATCTGTCTCTCACTCTCTTTAACCTGCCTGTGGCACACACCAGGTTTTCAGTTCTGGAAGTGTTTAGTACCAGACCCCACTTACAATCGTGGTACCAGAGATATTGTCAGCAGGTACCTATACACTGTGGGGCCAGAGCCCACCTGTAGGACTTTGGGCAAATCAGTTAACCTTTCTCAGCCTCCAAGCAATGGTTTCATTTTTATCTTAATGAGGCTGATGGTGTTTCCCTCTTTGCCCTGGCCATTAGGAAGCTTAGAGCTAAATTTGTGGCCAGCATCCAGGAACTGTACAACACCTTCTGACAAGCATTTGTAATGTGCTGATCCTAACCCTGGCGGCTCTTATTCTTCTGTTATTCCCATTTTTTAATCTAGTTTATTTTATTTTAATGTTAGCTTTTTGTAAGCTGCCTCCCATCCCTTTTGGACTGGGCAGGATATAAATCGGTAAGAACCTCTGTGAGCTTTATTTTCCCATCTACATGAAGGGCATGAGTGAAATTCCTGGGAGATGATGACTATCAAATGCCTTCCCATTTAAAAGAGCAGCGTAGGTGCTCAGATCATGTCAGTTCCTGCTTCGCTTCGGGAGCCAGCCCCCCACACTCCCGCCCCGCTGCTCACCACTGGGAGGTGAAGACCGCGTAGACGTGGGAACCTGCAGAGGAACTGTCAGGCAGCAGGACTGCGTGACGGATGATGTTGAAGGGCAGCTGCCCGGGCTGGGCGCAGAGCAGTTGGGCCTTCATGAAGGTGGTCCACTTCCTCTGCAGCAGCTTCTCACCGCCCACGTCGTTCTGGGGGTGCAGGCGGAGTCAGGGAAGAGACTGCAGCTCACTGTGCCCCCTCTCCCCGCCTCTGCCATCTCCCCATTGGCTCCTCCACTGCCGCCTCCCGCCCCCAGCCGCAAACCTTGCAAACTTGGGCCACCCGGGACGTGTAGACCTTCTCGAAGAAGTCAATCTCGCTGGCCGTCTCCTCGAAGAAGAAGTAGACGACCTGGGTTGAAGGAATGGCTGCTACGAAGGAGGCGTCCGCTGCAGGGGCAGGGCAGAGGGGCTTAGAAACTGAGCACCTGACTGCCTGGGGGTCCCCTTGGTGAAAACACTGGCGTTGGCTCTGAAGGCCAAGAAACAGGATGTCTGGGCTCCTGCAGCTGGTCGGGGTGGGGTTGGGAGGCGGCTGGAAATTCTTTAATTTATTTAGATAGGATGGAAGCTTCATGCAGGCGGGGGGTGGGGGAGCGGGGACGGGGCTTTGTCTTCTCTCCTGCTGTGTCCCTAGCACCTAACTACTGCCCCGCACATAGTATGCCCTCAACAAAGACAGCAGAATGAGTTAATAGAAATTCACAATGCCAGTGCTCCGGGGCTCCAGGAAGGAGGCCTGAACCTGTGCTGGGTGGGGGTCATGGTCTTACGATGCAGCCAGCTGAGGAATGTGTCGGTCTTGAGGACAGGCTGGCCCAGCGTGCGTATCAGGATAGGCTCACTGCCCAGGAAGTTGTTCATGGTGCCAGAATACAGCATGCCATCTAGGGGGATAAGGAGAGACTTATCAGCAAAAGGGCTCTCCTAAGGGCCTCAGACCTGCCTCTGACTGGACCAGCATCCACATCAGTCTCTGGCCCTCTTCTTTCTGTCTACACTTTCCTGAGCCCCAGCTCACACACCCCTACTGAGCACACTTCTTAGGTCCCTCTGCCCACAGAGAATGGCCAACCTGTGTGACCTTCTGTGCTTTGGCATTTTTCCAGCCTTTCTCTGGCTCCTTCCTTGCACACACAGCTGAACCCCTTGCCAAATAGAATCACTCATTGTTCCCCAAAGGTGGCTGTGTTTTCTGCTTCCACACCTTGGGTCCTCCCTTACTCTTTCTGGAACACCTTCTCTGCCCATCTACCTACCTATCCTTCAAGTTCCCACTCAAAAACCAAAGGCCACCTCCTCCAGGAAGCCAGGGTGGGAAGCCTGTAATGAATGGTTTGTATCTGGGAGGGCACAGGACCACGATTTCTTCTTTGTAATCCCTGTGATTCCTAGCACGATGCCTCGGGCACCAGAGGAGATGCTCGCACGGTGCATAATTGTTGAACAAATGATTGAATCTCAGGCCTCTGCTCTGCCTGAGACCCTTCCACCTCTGTGTCTGTCTTCCCATCCATCTCTCCACCTCTTTTGTGGCAGTTCCAGCAGAAGCTGGTGTTTGGGGTGTCTGATTCTTCCTCTTATCTTGTGCTCTGAGGCTCCTGGCCTCCCCTCCCTCTGTCCCTTGCCTTTCAGGAAACTGTCCGATTCTATATTTCACAAAGTGACCCAGAAAGGCAGATGTTGGGATGGACCACAGAACCTGATACTCACCCACCAAGACAGCTGTGTGCTTGTGGGCTGGGTTGAAGGGGCTTTGGCCTTTCCCCTCTACGACATTGTCCTCCAAAATGGGCATCAGGTTGGAATTTTTGAGTTCCTAGAGGGGGGGAGAGGCTGGGGGACCAGAACGCCAGAGTCTCATGTCTGGGAAATCAGGGGCTTGAGGGGGGAAGGGAAAGGGACATACATAGAGGGAAAATGGTCTGGAGCCAGGAAATACACGAGGATCTCGTGCCTGGAAGACCAGAGTTTTCTAGCGCTACAGAGGATGAACTGAGCATAGATGTGAGGAGAGAGGTTTGGGGGCCTGAGAGCTGGGTGCCACATAACTCACAATGAAAGTACACGCAGGGCTGAAGGCAAAGGTGCCACAGGCGTAGAGATGGGTGGCATTGAAAGAGACCAGGACACGGATGAAGTTGAAACACTCGGTCTGGAGGAGACAGAGGAGTCAGAGCCAGTTGCTACTTGCCCCAGAGTCCCGGGCCCCCAGAGTCTGCTCCCTCGCTTTCTAGTGGGGAGAAGGGCTGGGCAATGCTGGGGCAGTCCCTGTGCATCTTTATAGAACATAATCAAGACAGATAATCATGCAAACAATCCCTCTCCACTGCCCTGCCTGCCCAACCTGAGGTCTTCCCAGTGATGGTCTGGACCCCAGGGTTCCCCACCCAGAGCTCTCCTACCCCCACCTCCACTTACCTCATAGTTCTGCCTCTTAAGGGCACATTGAGTCTTTTTCTGGTCACTGGCTGGCCAGGGTATCTGAAGCAGAGAATTGGGGGGAGGAGATAAAAGGAGATGAGGTCTTTAGCTTTAGCTCTGGCTTCCCATCCCCTCCTTGGCTCTGGTGTGAAACCACCAGCAGGTATGGCGGTTAGTGACAGGTTGATGGGCTGTAATAATATCAGTCTGTGACTATGGCTTTTACTGTCAGGATACTGATGTTCATTAGTCCCTAACTCCATGGTAGAACACGGCCTCTGGAATCAGACTTGAGTTTACATCTAGGCTTGGCCACTCACTGGTTACGTGATCTTGGTCAAGTGCACAGGCTGCTGGAAGACACAGCGAGGTGGCACATATTAAACATGTAAGGAAGTACATGCTGTACACAGCAGCAATTGTCAACCCACACGTTTCCTGGGGAAATTGTGAAAAGTACCATTTCTCGGGTCACATCTCAGAATCTGCATTTTTAACCACATCGGTGTGATTCTATTCAGGCAGACTATTCAGAACATACGTTGAGAAATAAACCACAGAAGTGATCAGTAATTGCTAGCGCTTATTCCCTTCCTTTTTCCCCTCTCTCCCTCATTTTGTTTCCATCAGTAGAGTGACTACCACACAGAAGCTTCAGTGATTTCTGTCGGTGAGTGAATATCAAATCATTGATATAATTTAAATCAATGTTTATTTCATATGTCCGTGATTTCCATACCAGCCATTTTGGCAATGAATAAGATTCAATCAGTTATCCTGATGCCGATGAGAGTCATCATAATATTTCTTGTCCATTACATGGGTAGCAACTGGGCAGTTAGTCATCCATAAACAGCCCAGGCTCAAAGCAGCTGCTGGTCCCCTCCTCACTCCCAGCCCCCCACCCCTTTATCCTTGGCCTCCTCACCATGTTGAGCAGCCTTGGGACCCCCGGATCTTGGATATTCAAGGCCAGAATAGCCTCTCGAGCCCCCACGTAGAGAGTGTTTCCATCATCACTCAGGAGCAGAATGTCAAAATCCTGGAGGTCCTTCTGCTGGAAGCGGCTCAGCACCCTGCGTCCATCCCCTGTGGAAAGGTGGTGAGAAGGAGTGAGTGGTGAGGAGTAGCAGGCAGGCAGCCGATCCCTGAGTTAGAAGTGGGGGAAGGGGTGGATTGGCAGTGTGCTCCCCAGGCCTTGGCAGTCAGACCCACTCTTCTCCACCAGCAGCTCCCCCTCCACCCCGCCCTCCTGGCAGCCACAGGAGCTTTGTGTGCAGAGCGCACAGAGGAGAGGCAGCCAGAGATTCAGAAATGACAGCCTGGGGCTGGGGACGGGTGGCCAGCACCCAGGAGACACACAAAGGGACAGGAAACAGAGTGAGACCCAGGGGACATCCTTCCAGGCCTGGGGGCTGCGGTAGGGGAGGACACCTTGTTCCCACTAGCAAGGGGAGCGACAGGCAGACAGAAAGGCAGGAGGATGTTGGCAGCCACAGGCAGGAAAGCCAGACACAGTCAGGACTGTGCATCAGAGTAGCTGGTTTTGGAGGTCCCTCTCACCGCCACCACCTCCCCCCACTTCCTTCCCCTCCTCTGTTGTAGGAAATTTCCACCACTGGAATCACTGTCGTAGGTGGGACAAAAAGGAAGCATTTTCCTCAGTGGTCCCTGTGGACATGAAGATGTCTCCTGGGCAGGGGAGGTGAAGGGGTTGCAGGAGGCTCACCTAGGCCATCTCCATTATCTTTTTTCTTTTTTTAATTGTACTTTAGATGAAGGTTCACAGAATAAGTAGTTTCTCATTAAACAGTACACATATTGTTTTATGACAATGGATAACAACCCCACGACCTGTCGACTCCGTCCCTTCTCAAACTTGGATTCCCTATCACCAGCTTCCCTGTCCCCTCCTGCCTTCTAGTCCTTGTCCCTGGACTGTTGTGCCCCATTAGTCTCATTTTGTTTTATGGGGCTGCCTAATCTTTGGCTGAACGGTGAACCTGGGGAGTGACTTCATTACTGAGCTAAAACGGTGTCCAGGGGCCATACTCTCGGGGTTTCTCCAGTCTCTGTCAGGCCAGTAAGTCTGGTCTTCTTTTGTGAGTTAGAATTTTGTTCTACATTTTTCTCCAGCTCTGTCTGGGACCCTCTGTTGTGATCCCTGTCAGAGCAGTCAGTGGTGGTAGTCAGGCCCTACCTAGCTGTACTGGACTCAGTCTGGTGGAGGCCATGGTAGTTGTGGTCCATTAGTCCTTTGGACTAATCTTTTCCTTGTATCCTGTCCTCTTCATTCTCCCTTGCTCCCGAAGGGGTGAGACCAGTGGAGTATCTTAGATGGCTGCTCACAGGATTTTAAGACCCCAGACGCTACTCACCAAGGTAGAATGTAGAACATTTTCTTTATAAACTGTGTTATCCAGTTGAGCTAGACGTTCCCCGAGACCATGGTCCCCAAAGCCCTCCGCCCAGCAATTCAGTCCCTCAGGGAGTTTGGATGTGTCTATGGAGTTCCCATGACTTTTCCTTGAACAAATTGTGCTGGCTTCCCCAGTATTGTGTACTGTCTCACCCTTCACCAAAGATACCGCTTATCGATTGCCTATTTAGTATTACCCAACCCTACCCCTCCCATCCCTAGTAACCAACAAAGATTGTTTCTTTTTGTGTGTAAACCTTTTCATGAGTTTTTACAATAGAAGTCTCATACAATATCTGTCCTTTTGTGATTGACTTATTTCACTCAGCATAATGTCCTCCAGTTTCATCCATGTTATGAGATGCTTCACAGATTCATCTTTGTTCTTTCTCGTTTCATAGTATTCCATTGTGCGTATGTACCATAGTTTGTTTATCCATTCATTTGTTGATGGGCATCTAGGTTGTTTCCATCGTTTTGCTATTGTGAACAGTGCTGCAATGAACATGGGTGTGCATATGTCTATTCATGTGACAGCCCTTATTTCTCTAGAATATATTCCTAGGAGTGGGATTGCTGGATCGAATGGTATGTCTATTTCTAGCTTTCTAAGGAAGGGCCATATCATTTTCCAAAACGGTTGTATCATTTTGCATTCCCACCAGCAGTGCATAAGAGTTCCAATCTCCCTGCAGCCCCTCCAACATTTGTTATTTCCAGTGTTTTCGATTCGTGCCAGTAATGCTGGGGTGAGATGGTATCTCATTGTGGTTTTAATTTGCATTTCTCTCATGGCTGGTGATTGCGAGCATTTCCTCATTTGTCTGTTAGCTCCTTGAATGTCTTCTTTGGTGAAGTGTCTGTTCATTTCCTTTGCCCATTTTTTAATTGGATTATTTGTCTTTTTGTTGTAGAGGTACGGGATTTTCTTGCAGATTTTAGAGATTAGACCTTTGTCTGACTTGTACTGTCCAAAACTTTTTTCCCAGTCTGTAAGTTCTCTTTTCACTCTTTTGGTGAAGTCTTTTGATGAGCACAAGTGTTTAATTTTTAGAAGATCCCAGTTATCTTCTGGAGTTTGTGTGTTGTTTCCATTATCTTGATGTGATGGTGATGGCGGTGATGGTGGTGTGTGTGTGTGTGTATTCCTGGCCCACCACCGGCACATCAGCAAGGGGGAAGTAACGCCTCAAACCCCCTCTCATTAGCACTTCGCACTTTTGCATTAGTTAGTGGACTGACTAGCTAATTGTTCCTTTTGGGGACTCAAGGAATCTCAGGACCCAGAAGAGGAGAAGTCTGGGAATAATATGTGGTATGGTACTGGAAGGGCCGGCCTCAGAGAGGGGAGTCTGCTGGAGGAGGCCAGGCCTCCCCGAGAACCTTACAAACCTCTGAGTTACTGTGCTAATCACCCCGTAGCAAGACTGTCTGATTGCTCACCTGCCTCCCCCTCTGAAATGTGAACACCTTGGGGTCAGGGGCTGAGCCTGGTCCTTGTTTCTATCCCACTACGTAACATGAAGGACGCCTCTCCATCAATGGGCAACATGCGCTTTCTTCACCAGCTTGCCTTAGAAAGATGCTAAAGAGACCGTGCCCAGAGACCCTGCCCCTACAACTCTGACAGGGTCCATGTTCTTCTTGGAATATTCTTCCTGGAGCTGAGAGGGCCAGCAGCCCCACAGCCTCCACAGGAGACCAGCCAAGCTGTGCCTAGAGGGCTCCTGGGCCTACTCCCCAGCCGCGCCATCCTCGGTGCTGGTATTCCTGGTGAGGAGGTCGGTGCCACGTGTCCATGGCGCTGGAGCCTCCCAGCATGGTCTTTGTGGTTGGCATGGGCCTGGCATGGTCACCAGGTCCACAGATGGTCTCCTCGCTTGAGCCTTAGCTTTGGGGGCACCCCGAGGTGTGAGAGAGGTTAGAGGTTTAAGGTGCCCAGCTGGTGGCCGTGATATTTAAAGAGAGAAAGAAAATCCACTAACTTTGCAGAACCGGAAGGAGCAGTGCCCCTGGCCTCCCGGCCCCCTCTCTTCCCTTTCCTCAGTCTTTGGCCCGACTGAGTTTTATCGTCTGCTCTTTCCAGTCTGAGTTTTTGTTTCTGGCTGTCTCCTTTTCCGAGGCCCTTGTTTCTCCCCTGGCATATCTCTGTGTCTCTGTTTCTCCATGTCCATTTTTCTCCCTCTTCTTCCATTCCTCCACAGCCCTCTCCTCTCTCCTTCCTCCACTCTCCCCAGCTCTGTGCTGCCATCCCCGCCACACTTCCCCCACATCAGACACTTACCTGCGGAGTATCTGACCCTGGGCACGGGCCCCTGCCCACCACTCCCTGCGGTTGGTGGCGGCAGCAGCAGCAGCATTAGCTGGAAGAGGAGAAGGCCCAGGAGGCTCCGGAGGTCCAGGCCCAGGGCTGGCAGGGCCATGCTCAATCAGAGGGAGTCACCAGCTGGCTCTGGGGAAACAGGTGCCCAGACACTCTCAGGGTTAGCTAGCTTCACCACATCCCCCTCAAGACCAATCAGAAAGCCCCCGGTAGCAGAAGTGTGAATGGAGTGGGGAGTCCTAAGGGGTGGTTTCCCCCTCTGGGAGAGCCCTCAGAGAATCTCACTTCCACCACCCTCACAGGACGCAGCCTGTTGCCTCACTCTCCCCTCTGGGTTGGAACCCAGCTGTCCCATGTCCTGGCTCTTCTGGCCTCCTTTCACTAATATCCCTGCTCTGCCTTTTCTAGCCCTTTCCTCAGGGAGGTCCTTCTTACTGTCTAACCTTTGCCCTCCTTCCTCCCATAGTCCAGGGCCCAAAAGCTATTGCTGGGCCCCAGGGAGGGAATTTCTGGGAAGCAGATTCCTGCACCCAAAGCACACGTTCTGAGTAGCTGAGTAGCATCTGGAGTCTTAAAAGCTTGCCAGCAGCCATCTAAGACACAACTACAGGTCTCTGCTCGCCAGGAGCAAAACAGTGAGAAGGTAACCAAATGTGCAGAGAAGAAACAAGGCCACACAAGCCACAACCTCATCTACCCTGAGACCAGAAGAACTAGATGGTGCCTGGCTACTATCACTGACCGTTCTAACTGGGGTCGCAACTGTTGGTCCTAGATAGAATGGGAGAAAAATATGGAGCAGAACTCACTTTTGTTTTCAATTGTGCTTTAAGTGAAAGTTTACAGCTCAAGTTAGTTTCTCATACAAAAATTTATACACACATTGTTCTGTGATCCTAGTTGTTCTCTCTATAAAGTGACACCTCTCTCCTCCTTTCCACCCCGGATTTCCCGTGTCCATTCAACCAGCTCCTGTCCCTTTCTGCCTTTCTCATCTTGCCTCTGGACAGGAGCTGCCCATTTAGTCTCATGTATCTACTTGAATTAAGAAGCACACTTTTCACGAGTATCATTTTATAGTCCAGTCTAATCTTTGTCTGAAGAGTTGGCTTCAGGAATGGTTTTGTAAGAACTCAAATTTTTATTTAAAAAAAAAAATTCTAAAGTCAGACAAACTGAACAGTAGAGAACAGAGGACTCCCTGAGACTATCTCCCTGAGACAACCTTTAAACCTAGAACCCAGCCTATCTCCTGAGATCACCTTTGAGCGAAATAGCACAGTGGTACACAGAATAATGAATATTACCCATAAGATCGGCGCCCAACTTAAAAACCATCAGTACGAGACCAAAAGGTCAACAATTACTCGAAAACAAAGATGAGAAGAGAAGGGGGCAGGGAAACTAGAGTACTGGAAAGGAAAAACACTAAACCCAAAGAGAATGTTGATACATTGTGATAAATGTCACTAATATCACTGAACAATTTGTGTGGAAATTGTCAAATGGGAACCTAACTTGCTGTGTCAACTTTCACCAAAAACTCAATAAAATATTATTAAAAAACAAAAACACAAAGCACGCATTCCTCAGACCTTACTCTCCCGCCACTTTGAGATCTGTTGACACTCTGTGCCTGATGGTCCCCACTGTCCTCTGATGACCCAGGCAGGCAGACCTGGTCAGAGTCGGCCTGCTGTGACCACTCCCCCAGCCCCAGCTGGGCTTGGGGGTGTCTGACACTCAGGCCTACCTGGCCCTCTTCTTCCAGGGAGGCAATGAGAGTTCGTCCCGATAGGCTGCCTATCAGCACTATCCAGGAGTGGCCCTGAGCAGGGGTGGCTGGCTGGCTGACCCCCAGTCTCTGCAGCCCCCCGCCCCTTGATTGTCTTGGTGCTCCTGACGTCTGTTTCCCTGGGCTCTGCATAATCCTCCCTCAAGACTGCCAGCCCCAAGCTGCCCATCTCACATACCCTTAAGCCAGCCAGAGTGTAGGACCCAGGTGTCCAGATTCTCGGGCAGGGATGCCATCCAGGAGAAGGAAGGAGGGGGTTCCCAGGCCCCAGCAGGCAGAGGATGGCAGGCTCAGCCTGGCTGGACGGGTAGTGCGGCCCCCCAGGTGCCCATAGTCCGAAGCTAGCACTGAGCTCTGGGCCAGGGAAACCAGAATTTCCACCTCTCGAGTTGTGACAGATCCCTGGCTTGGGCGGAAGTTGGTGGATTGGGAGAGTAGAAAAAGAGGCTCCACCACCTCTCAGGAGACACACCTCTTTCTTTTTTCCTCCTCCTTGCTTCCATCTACCCAGAAAGTTTAGAAGGCCCTTCTGGGTCACTTCGGTCATTCTCTAGCTCTCTATCACGTCACATCCAGTCTAACCAGCCCAAAAGTGGTTCTTCCTCTTTCACTTACCCACAAGGTGGGGTCTCCACTCCTACCTACTGGGAAGTCCCTGCAGTGGTCCAACCTTCATACCTCCCACATCTGGCTGGGCAATAGTCTTTAAAAAACAAAACAGCTGCATCAGGCTCTTACCCATGGCTTCACTGAGGAGGTCCCTCTGGAGTCTACATTGCTCTTGGAGCATCAGGCTCAGGATGCTCCTAAGCCTGAGCTGGGAGGCCCAGGAAATTTCCCATTTGAGCTCAGGCTTCTGCAACACGCTTCAGAAGCACTCAACCCCCAAAAGTGGCTGCTGGCCCCTCCCAGCCGGCTGTGGGGGGACCTCGTAATGCAGGGTTAATGAGGCATCCGGCGCCACGGGCTCCACAGCCTATAAAGTGGGTAGTTTCCTGCCCCCTCAGCCCCAGTCAGCTGACTGTAGGTTAAAGAGCAGACATCCGAGGGCTAATCCACTCCAATAAATAAGCCACCTCCATCTTAAACGCACATTCCTCTTGGTCAGGAAAGCTTTCCTGAAGTTTAACCGCCACCTCTCCTGCTACAGTGCCAGCCTTCAGGCGTGATGGTACAGGCCAGGCTTCCTTAGAATCCTCCTCAGAGCCTGCCCAGCCTTCCGTCACTCTCCCTCTGCTCTCATTACCCCTCGATCTCTCTGGTCAGTCTGAGACCAGCCCCTCCTGACAGGTGTTTCTGTCCAGACTTGCATAAGTCTGCTCCAGACTCTCCTGGATGCGGGTTGCAGAGAGTGTCCCTTCTCCTTGGGAATCTCCCTTCTTGGGAGGCCATGGGCCAAGCTACCCAGAGAAAGTCTCCCAGACCCTCAGAATCAAGGGAAATTCTGGCCTACCAAGTCTCCCCAACCCCTAGCCCGGATTTGAAGACCCACCCTGCCCCTGGGCCTCTCTTCTCCATCAGATTGTCTGATCTGAGTCCCTGGGAGGAGTTCTGATGCGGGGAGGGAGGCAGTTCCAGCCCCAGTCTCCCCACCCAATGCCCTGTTCCCTGCCTCTCTGGAAATGGCAGACCCGAGGCCCAGTCCCCAATGCTTCCTTCCCCCGGCCCCAGGAAATTCCCCAGCCCCAGGCTTCCTCTTCCCTAGCCACTCCAGCCAATATCAAGAGTTTGCACTATCAGGTATTAGACCTCTCAACAATTTCAGAAGGTAGGTACCATCATAACACCATTTTACAGATAAGGAAAAGGAGGCTCCAGGGGGCCACACAACTAGAAACCAAATCAAATTCAGGTCTGCCTCACTCAAAATAACCCCTTCTTAGCCAGGCCGTCTGTCTAGAGTCCTACCCCTCAGTCCTACTTCCTGCCGCAATCCAGGAAACTCAGCTCTGAGCCACCTGGGTAGAGAAGGAGAGTATGGGGTTGGTGATAGGCTCTATTTTCTCCGGCCTGAGAAACAATATCTTTAGGGGTGACTCCTGACTGGGGGGAACAGAAACCTCCCCACAGGAAGGCCATCAGGGACCATCCTCCTGCCACTGTAAGGACCTCCTGGTCAACTTCCACAGAAGAACCTGAAGGGGAAGAAGGGCATCTGCACACAACAGCCTCTGGAGTCAGACCCAAAGTCTCTCTCTCTTGCTTCAGCTCGTGGAGCCCACAGCCGTGGCTGCTTCATGGATGCCAGACCCGTGCAGTCACACAGAAACCCGCGCTCGGGAGGGCCCCGCGCTTGGGAGGGCCCAGCACTTGGTTTAACCTTCTGCTGTTGCAGCCTTGAAAGTCTTAGTCATTTTTGAACAAGGTGCCCTGTACTTTCATTTTGCACTGGGCCCCGCAAATTATGTAGCAGGTCTTGCTCACAGGTCAAAGAAGGTCAGAGCTGGCAGGGTCCCACCCCCTCCTTCACTGGACAAATGAGGAACCAAGGCCAGGAGGGGAAGTGACTTGGCTAGAGTTGGAGTCAGGAGCAGATCAGGTGCGGTGGTGGGGAAGGGGTCAGGTGGGGTGATGGGGGAAGGCATCAGGTGGGGTGGTGGGGGAAGGAGTCAGGTGGGGTGGTGGGGGAAAGGGTCAGGTGCCCATGGACCAGGCCATAGGGGCTGTACCATCTTCATTGCCCCAGTCTGGGGTTTCCCCTGCCCCTTTCTCTCCAGGCCCTGGAGCCCAGCATAGGGACTCCCCCATGACAACAATAGTGAGTTCATCCTCCCCCTGCCAACATCCACCTCCTCTGGGGACTCCTCCCGCACAGTCCCTAGACCACAGCAAACAGTAGCCCCTTCCTGCCGGTCTTCATAGCCCAAGTAGAGACCTAGCCGTGGGGGTGGAGGTGGGAGGGGAGATGAGATGTTGCTCCCCACCCCTACCCTACCCTATGTCACCTCTGAGCTTTACTGCCTCTTCCCACCCCGCGGAGCACGGACGCCTCAGTGAGGGAGGGGATCCTGGATCCACTCCTGCTCCGCCAATGACCCGGCAGGTCCGGTCCCGGGGGCCCTTCTCCCAGCCTCAGGACAGCCCTCGGAAGAGCACAGTCCTGGGGACCATCCGCTTCCTGGCTCCGCTGCCCCTCGTCTGCCCCCTCTTCTGATCATAAGCAAATCAAATCAACTTCTATGTGTTGAGTGCCTGCTGTGCGTAAGAGACCAAGTCTCCGCTCCTCCAGTATCCCCCCACCTCTTCCCACCCCGCGATCTCCTAACCTTCTTGCCACCCGCCCAGCCCATTCCCCTTAACCCCTTACCCAGAGCCTCCTAGGTCCCCTCCTCCAGTCTGACTAGGGCTGGAAGCCTGAACTGAGTATCGCGCACAATGGCCCGACCCCCTCAGTCTGCCCCCTCCTCAGGACAGAGCCAGCGCCAGACAATGGCCAGCCCCCTCCTTCCAGAACTGTCAGCTCTCTTGCTCCCTTACCTGGAGCTTGGGGTGCCGCCGCGTTTCCCTCCCCCTGGAATGCCAGGCGTTCCCGTCTCCCAGTGCCTCCGTCCCTGCCACACCCCCGCCCCCCATCCCCAACCCCATCCCACCTCACTGGTCCTCAGTCGCCATGGCGACCGCATCTCTAAGTGGGAGGGACTAGAATCTCCCCATATTCTTCCTCCTCCTACCCGTGTCCCCCTGTGCCCCACCTTCTGCGTCTCCTGCATCCACACGTGTGGAAAAGGCAGGGTTCCAGATGTGGGGGGAGGTGGCGAGGCGGCACACTAGCCCCCACCCGCTTCGCTGCTGGCTCTCTTTTCCACCTTCAGGCAGGCACCACCCTGCAGACGCCCCCCAGCTAAGTTCTGGGCATCAGCTGGGGCCATTTCCCCTTTAGGGCCAGTTTCTCTGGCTTCCCCCATCCCTGAGGACTCTGAATTCCAGCCTGGCCCCATGCAAATTGAGCTTGCCAGTGAGGATACAAATGAACACCCAAATACCTAGGCAAATGAGCCAAGGGACCAGCTCTCTGCCAAGAAGCCCAAGAAGCCTTCTGTTCATATTATCCTGACCTCCACGGGAAGGAGTACACCAGCAGGTTCAATCTCTGCCTTTTCTTCCCATCTTCCCGAAAAGGTAGCTCCTCCAGAAGCCTCCTTTTGCTACCGCCTTGTAAGACCTATTGGGAGGGGAGGGCTGTACTTTAAGAGAAGGCGTGGAAGGTAGCCTTCTGAAGGTCTAGATGCTGATAAAAACAAGAGATAAGATCAAGCTGGGATCTTCCCCATCTGGGAGGGAGCAGAGGCAGGCAGGTTCTTGGTAGAGACTTTTGAGGGGGGGCCTTATGCCTTCCCCCAGTCCTGATTTTATGCAACCTTATCTTCCAGAGCTCTCCTGTCCTCCACCCCGGGCCTCAGCTTCCTCACTCGTAAAAGGAGTTGAAAAAGCCTCTTCCAGGCCAACCTCTCTCAGCTTGTAGAAGGACTATGAAAAATGCACCATGGAGCTGGGAATTAAGAGCTGTGGGTCCCCGGCCTGCCTGCCTGAATGCTGTGTGATCCTGGGCAGGACACTTGCCCTCTCTGATCCACATAGGTAAAATAATGGCTTCCTAGCCTACCTGGGAGCCGTTTGACTTCTCTGCAGACTTACCGTGATAGTATGTTTCGGAAGAACGAAGTGAGTGTGCTGGCGTCAGCGAAGGCCAAGTGTTTCACAAACCAAGTCTAGTTCCCTTTTATGTCTAGGTTGGGGTGGAGGGCAAGCATTTCCGTCTGGGGTGGGGCGAGGAGAGCGTGGCATGTGCTGAAAGCAGAAGCTGACCCTGAGCAGAGTCACATGCCCCCGCTACTTCCTGAGCTTCAATGCACCTCAGCACCTGGGGCACGGGCATTCAGAAGATGCCTACTTGTTCGGGTTCTTCTTCCCCAGGACTAGGGCATGTGGTAGCCCGGAAGGAAATTATTTGGGACCAAGATGGCAGGGACTAGAGAAAACTGAGCTAGTAGTCTAACAGGAAAGATTGGACTGCAGAAAGATTTCACACCCCCAGGGGATGTCTTTGAGTCCCTGCCCCCTTGCCTTCCCTTTGAGAGGAATTGAGCCCAGTCTCTGTGGCAGAATCGGAAGGGGTTGCAATTCTGAAATAATCCAAGGGAATTAAGTAGAGGGAGCCTACAGGTCTCCCGTGGCTCTACTTCCTGTCGGGTTACCCAGCCAACCTCCAGGGGACCTCTCCTGGCATTGGGATATGGAGGTCAAAACTTCTAGGACTTAGTTAAGTTGTCCAAATGAGGAAGCAGGACTGTCCCGGCTGGTGGCCGTGGCTGCAATGAGGAACTTGCTGGGTGAGCTGGACACCTGGGCCCCCTGATTGCAGTTCCCTGGTGGCGCCGTGGTTAAAGCACTAGGCTGCTAACCGAAAAGTCGGTTGTTCAAACTCACCAGCCGCTCTGGGGGAGAAAGATGTGGTAGTCTGCTCCCGTAAAGCCTTGGAAACCCTATGGGGCAGTGCTACTCTGTCCGACAGGGTCGCTGTAAGTCACAATCCACTCAAAGGCAAATGGGTTTTGGGGATGGAGAAGGAGGAGGGAGAGCCTTTCCGCATCCTAATATCCATTGCTCCTACTGCAGTATACACAATTGCATTTCTTATGGTTTGCCCAGCCTCAGTTTCCTCATCTGTAGGAAGCTGGGGTGTCCGGGCCCTGTGTCTTTGATTGCGGGAAGGCCAGGGAGTTTAGCAGATGAAGGTCTTGGTGGGGAATGAGGTGGAGGAGGAGGAGACCCAGGTATCCTGCCCACTAAGACCCACTCAAGATCTCTGAAGCTGCAGGAGCTAGTGAGGGTAATGGGTGAGGGTAACGGGTGAGGATAATAAGTGCCTGGGGGCAATCTCTAAGATGCGCCCCCTCCCCCAAGTTTCAAGATGAATAGACATTGATTGCAGCTCCGAATCAGCAGAAACGCCTTCCCCCGCTCTCAGCCAGCTGCCTCAATCAGGTGCCTTTCATATTTGTGGCACCTCGGAATGTCATTCCGAGGCTTATCTGATGCTCCCTTGGACTCACGCCAGGGGCAAGTGCCCCCTTCTGCCCACCCTTGCTACGCCTCTGTGGAGCTGCCTTTCTCCCAGTCCCAGACGAGAGGGCCACCCAGCCAGGGCCCCCTACATTATCCATTGAAGTTGGCACACAGACACTCCACACTTACAGCCCCAGGGATCTGGCATCCTGCCCCCCATCCCACCCCAGGGATCATGGTCCCCTTCCCCACCTCTTTCAAGCCTTACCCCAGCCCAGCAGTGGCGACCCTAACCCAGGCGTCCAGGACTTCCAGCAGCGTCTGGAACGGGCAGGGGGCAGAGCAGGGGCGGGCATGGCTAGGGGAGGGGTGGGGACCCTGCCAGCCCCCTCCGGTGCCCCAGTTCCCAGGCGGCTCTTAAAGGGACCAAGGCAGATTAGCCGGGGGCAGCTTAAGGGAGTGGGTGTAGGGGAAAGTGGGGTGGTGAGGAGAGGGTTGGGACTGCTAGGGGCGGTAGAGCAAAGGTGGGGGGTCTGAAACCTCCTCTACTCCGTGGAAGTCCTAGGCTCCTCTGTCTAGCCTTTCCCTCCCATAGGAGTCCCATGCTGGCCACCCAGCTTCTGACCACCACCTTCTGGGATCCCGATCCCTATTCTCCTCGGACCCCTGCCCACTTCCTTCCCCTCCCCCATATTCATGCCACCTCAGTCCCTGGAGAGAGCTGCCAACTGGCACTGACTGGTACTAGGCACGCAGAATCAAATCTGCCCAAGGAGTGTGAGGGCCTGAGGCTTGGCCCAGTCGGGAGGGGAGGCCAGCCTCAGAGTCAATCCCCAGGCTGCCAGGTTGGTGGCCAAGAGGGGGTGGGGGTGCAGGAGGCCCCTACTTTCCCAATAGCCTCTGCAAGTCTTGTTTCCTCTGCCCTCTGGGGGCAGGATGAGGGGCGCCAAAGTTCTGGGGAGGATGAGAGACCTCGGGTCTTGGCTCATCACTTCCCTCCTCCACTTCCTAATGGCTATCAGGGTGTAACATGAAAAAGGAACGTGATTTAGCTGATTCTTCGGACCATATGGATGATGTGGGACAGCTGAGAGACACCCAGAGAAGGAGAGGGACAGAGAAATGGAAACTGAAAGACAGCAGACAGACAGACGGAGAGACAGCAGGAAGGTTCAGCTCTCCTCTCACCCCCGTGCTCAAAAATCTTCTCTGGCTCCCCAGTGACCACGGAATGCATTTCAAACTCTCTGGCTCGTGCCCTAGGTAAGGCAGTGACCCCCCTGTGTGACAGAGTAGAGCTGCTTCACAGGGTTTTCTTGGCTGTGATCTTAACAGAAGCAGATGGCCAGGTTATTTCTTCCACAGTGCTGCTGGGTGGTTTCGAACCACCAACCTTTAGGTTGGCAGTCAAACACAACTCATTTGCGCCACCCATGCCAATCCCCAAAGAACCCCTTTTTCCATAAACCCCTCCTGGATCCTCCCACAGTATTCTGAGTCCCCACTGGGATTTTTCTGGGAGTCAGGAGTCCTGGGTTCCACCACCACCAAGCTGGGTGACTTCAGGTAAATCTCTCCCCTCATTGGGCCTCCGTTTCCTCACTTTTAATGGGAATAATGATAAACTGCCCACTAGTGGTGAATGTGCACTTCGCTTCCATCTTTTTGTAAGCGATTTGACAATAGGTCTCAGGTTCTTCAAAAGTGTTCACCCTGAGTGATTCCATTTCTGAAAGTGTATACATTTACACATACTTATAAAGTACCTAAGGGGCCCTGGTGGTGCAATGGTTAAGAGCTCAGCTGCTAACTGAAAGGTCAGAGGTTCGAACCCACCAGCGGCTCCACAGCAGAAAAGACCTGGTGATCTGCTCCCATAAAAACTGCTGCCAGGAAACTCTATGGGGCAGTTCTACTCTGTCATATAGGGTTATTATGAGTCAGAAGCAACTCGATAGCACAAGACGACAATGTAAAGTACTCACTATATTGTCAGGCACCATAGTAGGTACTGCGGATCCAGCATGAATTAAACAGACAAAAATTCCCGCCCTCTGGGAAAACGCAGAAGAGAATTTCACGTTCTTATGGAACTCAGACTTTCTGGAGCCACCGAGGAACCAGAAACTACTATCCTGAGGAAATCTCTAAACTTAGAACCAAACTATCCTCCGAAGTCATCTTTGAACCAAACAACAGTTGAGTCGAAACAGCAAAGAATGTCTACATTAAACAGTATACTCTTTCAAAGAGTTATCGATATGTGATCAGATTGACAAAAAGGGTAGATAAGAAGCCTCGGAGGCATAGCCTTTGTGTTAATGATGATACATTGTTTGGAAAATGTTGTTGAGAAAGGTAACACAACTTGAAGAATGTAACCGTGGTCACTGAATCGTACATGTAGAAATTGTTGATATGGTGTATATTTTGTTGTGTATATTTTCACCAAAATAAATTAATTAATTAAAAACAACAACAACTTGCCCTCAGGTATGTGTATCCTTGTATAGAGGATAGAAAATAAATACACAAGTAAAAATTGTCCAATGGTGTTAAGTGCCCTGGAGAAAAATAAAGACGGGAGGGGCTTGGAACTGCTAGGGCTTGAGTTGGGGAGGATGGTGCTATTTTATACAGTTTAGTTGGGGAAGGCTTCATTGGATACTGACATTTGAACAGAGACCTGAGGGAAGTGAGGGAACAAGGTGTGTATAAACAAAACAAAACTGGTTGCC